AATAAAATCGGCATGAATATGAGAATGAGGTTAATTGTCATACTAAAAATACGCCTGAAACAGATGAAAACTCCTTGATTTGACAAAAAATACTCTCCAAGCAGAGGTTTGGGTTTTTAGGGCTGGGTTGGGATGAAAAAACCCAGTGCAAAAAACAAACCCCGATAAAAAAGCCTTGAAAGACCCCAAACCCAACCTCTGCCTGCAGAGTAATAAAAACTGGACTGTCACCCTAACATCTGCTTGGAGATTAGAGCGGTGAGAGACACAAAAGGTCAGCGGGAGGTCATCCTTTTCAAGATGGCCGCCGGGACTGATCATAGCGGTTTGTTTTCGTTCATTCTTAGAGATTTAGAGCAAAACTAGAAACACAGCAGCTCTGTGGTTTTAGATAATTAGTCCGAGTTATATTAGGGACTGGTTTGTTTTGGTCTCACTCACTAAAACGTAGCCAGGGTGCCAGACCCATAGCATAACTACCATAGCACACTGGGCACAAAGTATCTCAGTGGTAATTGCCTCCGGGGGAGGAGATATCCTTCCGCGGAAGGGCTTTGTGAGAGATTTAGATTTTCACGTTCGCAGTCGTTTCTCGCGTTTGAGTGGACGGATTCTTTTGGGACTCGGTATATGTTTTGCTATTGGGCTGTAGATGATGCACGACGTTCTTTTGTTTTTATTGTATTCTTTTATTTTTTTTGTTATATGTGTTTTCGGATGGGAAAATGGTGCCTTTTGGTAGCCCCAGAACACCCCTTTGAGCGTGAAAGTGGTCACGACCGTTGACCTTTGGTGTGTTTGAAGTATTCTTGGTCGGGTCCACTTGTATGACCTTTCGCACAGAGGGGTGTCCTAACAGATTAAATTTAACACCATCAACTATTCATAACAAACAACATATAAGAATATACAATAAAAAGCCCGGAGGTATAAAATCTTAGATTTTACTTGTTTAATTAGGTCTGCGGGCGAAGGGCTTTAAGCTTCTGGCTGCCGAAAGAAACGGCTAGCGTCCCGTAAACTTGGCTGGCACCCAGGGTAGCTAGGGCCATGTTGGTTAATCTCAAAGCAGATGTTTCGGTGGTCGCAAAAGACAGTATCGAATTGGCCATTGCCAAGTTTTCTTTTCAAACAGTACTTTTTTTTCAAACTGTTATACATGAAAGGGCTTCAAGTTTTTTGGTTGAGATTTTTGAGTCATGAAATGTTCTTATTGCCTTTCATTTATTTCCACCCAGAGATGGACAAAACTGGAGACAAACCCTCGGAGAGTGAGGAGAGCAGTTTTAGGACAACTCCCGAGTCTTGCTTTACTCTGAACAACCACACAGGAGAAAATCCTGGGGAAAATGCACCAGCACATCTAGCAACACACACCAGTGACAAACCCTACATGTGTGGAGAGTGTGGGTACAGGACAGCTGACAGGTCTCACTTATCCGGACATATGAGGACCCATACAGGAGAAAAACCTGGTGAAAATGCATCAGACCAAAATCTAACCAAGAACGTTACAATTACACCAACATGTGTCATTCTTGATCTAACAAACGTCCCTGGTGAGAAATGCTACATGTGTGGGGTATGTGGGTACAGGGATATTTGTAAGTCCGCCCTGTCAGCACATATGATTATCCACACAGGGCAAGAAAACTACTGCACAGGAGAAAAACCCTACAAGTGTGACCAGTGCGACTATTCTACAGCACGGAAATCTGGTTTGGACACACATATGAGAAAACACACTGGTGAGAAACCCTACATGTGTGGGGAGTGTGGGTACAGGACTGCTTACAGATGTACCTTAACCCAACATATGAAAACCCACACAGGAGAAAAACCCTATAAATGTGACCAGTGTGACTATTCTGCAGCACGGAAACAGTACTTGGACAAGCATCTAAGAGGCCACACAGGAGACAAACCCTACATGTGTGGGGAGTGTGGGTTCAGGACAGTTCACAAGTCATACCTATCCCAACATATGAGAACCCACACAGGAGAAAAACCCTACAAGTGTGACCAGTGTGACTTTTCTGCAGCATGGAAATCCAATTTGGACACACATATGAAAAAACACACTGGTGAGAAACCCTACATGTGTGGGGAATGTGGGTACAGGACAGCTGACAGGTCCAGCTTATCTTCACATATGAGAACCCATACAGGAGAAAAGCCCTACAAGTGTGACCAGTGTGACTATTCTGCAGCAGAGAAACAGTACTTGAAAAACCATATAAGAAACCACACTGGAGACAAACCCTACATGTGTGAGGAGTGTGGATACAGGACAGTTAACAAGTCATTCCTATCCCAACATATGAGAACCCATACAGGAGAAAAACCCTACAAGTGTGATCAGTGTGACTATTCTGCAGCACAGAAAGTCAATTTGGCAAGACATCGAACAACTCACACCGGAGAGAAACCCTACATGTGTGGGGAATGTGGGTACAGGGCAGCTAACAAATGTAACTTGTCCCATCATGTGAAAACCCATGCTATAGAAAAACCCTACAAATGTGATCACTGTGACTATTCTACAGCAAAGAAGTCCAGTTTTGACGAACATCTCACAAAACACACTGGAGAAAAACCCTACATGTGTGACAAGTGTGGGTACAGGGCAGCTGTAAGGTCTACCTTGTCCAAACACATGAGAATCCACACAGGAGAAAAACCCTACAAGTGTGACCAGTGTGACTTTTCTGCAGCTCAGAAATGTAGTCTGGACATTCATCTAACTAAGCACAGTGGCAACAAACCCTACATGTGTGACAAGTCAAGTGTGGATACAGGACAGCTTACAGGTCTGACTTATCCAAACATATGAAAACCCACACAGGAGAAAAGCATGGATGAAAAAGGACGAGGCAAATTACTGACGAAAGGTAGTGAACGCTACCTGAAACGTCTGACATTTCCAAAATCACACCCAGGCGCTGGAGTAACTGCTTTTTGGCATTTCTTATTACCTTCACCGACGTATGTTCAGTGATGCTTCTTAATAAAAAGTAGTGTCCCTTCGTGGCAAAATCACTAAAAACGGTTTATAACATATTTAAAGTTAAAAACTTGAGATCCAACACAAAGAAATTCTCTCACCTAGAGCTTTCAACCAGTCACTCTGGTCTTCCTCAGTAGACTGACCCAGTGTCAGGCTTGTCACGTGGCTTCTTTGAAGTGTGACATCAGCACACTTTTGTATGAGAAATAAAGGAAGCGACTGCAAGTGACTGAGTGTGTTCGCATCATTTATTATAAAACATTCATCTTTTAAACCCTAATTACGATATAGAAAAAAAGGCGCACATATTCTAAAGGCTACATTGTGAAAACTACAGCTGTGCATTAAGGCCACACCATTTTAATTTCTTGGTTAACAGATTCGCCGCTTAATTTTTTTCTGATTTGCAAATAAAAATGAAAATCCAGACTCAACTGCAAAATGCTCATATTTTGCCCTGAACAGTTGAAAACAGTCCTTTTCTCCCTAGTTGTTACAGTTATTACATCTTTCAATGCAGTGGTATCATTAAAAGTTCAAAATTCGTTGTTTAAATTTTGAACCAGCCTGGTGTGTTGACTTCATGGCTCCTATGGTACCATTTTGGGCCATAATAGGATGCCTAGGCCTGTTTTTATCTTTATTTTTTTTCGCCCGCCCGCTCCATTATTTTTCTAGAAAAATCCATTAACCAAGAAATTAAATTGGTGTGGCCTAAGGTGAACATAACAAAATTTGGGGTTAATAATTGCCCACTCTACCTCTATGCCAAATTTCAGGTCATCTTGCTGTAAAATAACATTTGGATCCATTTGACGTTAAAATTGCGCCGTCACCGTAACATCTGCTTCGAGATACCGTGGAGCCGCGAACTGCGGTGAGAGACCCAAAGGTCAGCGGGAGGTCATTCTTTTCAAGATGGCGGCCGGGACTAATCATAGAGGTTTGTTTTCGTTCGTTTTTAGAGTTTTAGAGCAAAACTAGTTACACAGTGGCTCTGTGGTTTGAGATAGTTAGTCCGGGTTATATTAGGGATCTAGTTTTAAATGTTGGCCACATTAACTCAGTTTCATGGTTGCTGCAGCACATATTGCATATTGTCTGTTTGCCCAAATATTTATTGTATTTGCCCAAATTCCAGCCCCCTCCCCAAAATTGCTCCTTTCATATGAAGGAAGACACTGCTAATAGCCCAAAGACAACTTACCACAAGTAAAGAACTAATAATGACCTGGAATTTTCCAACTCTTTTTATACTGTAACACTGTAACCTGTTATGTCAAAGCTCTGTTCTGTTATTCTCCAAGTTGACATGGTCAGACGTAGGCAGGGCGACTTTAGGATGAAGAAATGTACACAGAGTCTTGAGATCGTTCCTAAGTCGGCCCTCAGCTGAGGAGGTTTCTGATCTCCTTGTGCATGTGGCAGAGGAAGTCCACGTATGATGCCCCCCCATACAGACCCTTGTCCTCCACCAGAAAGTGCTGGAACCACGGCTCCAACTTGTCCCGCTGTCTCACAATCGTCAGCTGGGTAAAATAACAAACAAACAAATAAACAAACATCACAAAATTGTCAACTACAAACATCCAATTGGCTTACATACATACAAACATACATATCCGGGCTTAACTAACCAAGGCCATGACCCCAACTGACCTTCACCAAGGTCATGCCCTCTACTGACCTTCACCAAGGTCATGACCTCTACTGACCTTCACCAAGGTCGTGACCCTACTGACCTTCATAAACCTGCTCCTCTGGCTGCGGATGTGTTGCACCAGGTTCCGCACGCGGGCAGACAGGGGGTTGTCCAGGCTTAGCAGGGTGCCCTGGGAACAACAAGGATGAAAATCATAAACAAAGTGGCAAACAAACAAGTCAAATTTTCAATGATACAATTCCAGTAAATTTTCTTTCTTAAGTTATTGTACTAATTCTTAACTCGGTGCACAAAAAATGTTTTGGGTTCACCATGAAATACTTGTCATGATAAACATAAGGGTATTGGAGCCAAACTACAAATCTTTTTCAACCTTTCCATATCAAGATAACACAATGGACGGATCTAAACTTTGGTGGACTTTCAAGTTGTACAGGGAAGCAAGAAAATGCCAGGACATACAGATGATGTTAAGGTGGTGAATTCGGAGAAGAATGATGTCTTAAAGACACAAGGAAGTCGGAAAGGCAGGAAAACAGACGACTTACTTCCTTGTCCAGTAATGTGGGCTGGTCCATTCAGGCAAGGGGGGAGGAGGAGGCAAAGATGTGAGGACACACAAACACACAGAAACACAAACACACAGAAACACAAACACACAGACACACAATGGTAGGTGGTGATGAGAGAGTGCACCAACACATAAAATGTTACTGTAAAGTTTGAAATGTTCGTGGTGGTTTCATTTTTTAAATCTAAAACATAGTCTGAAGAAGAGGCCCAATCAGCCCCTGACAGTGAGAGATATGGAGTCAATGTCAATTTGTGTACGACAAAGTTGCTAACTGTAAGTTAACTCTGCCATTTGAGTTCCAGTTAGACTTAGAGTTGCATGGCAAAAAGCTCTCAGGCAGGAGGCCCAATCAAGCCTTGACTGTGCGAAATTGTGTAAAGCTCTGAACTCTGCCGAGTCAATGTTGATCTAAGCGACGTATTGAACGTTGAAGGTGCTAACTAAGTTTTTTCTGAGCTGTTTGAGTTTCAATTAGAGGTATGTGGCCACAAGCTCTCAGGGAGGAGGGCCAATCAGGCATTAACATTGAGAGATTGTGCAACACTAGAGAGGGAGGGCGAAATTATGTAAAGCAGAGTTACTTACGGAGTCGATGTCGATCTGTGCGACCGACTGCACGCCGAAGACGCTCTGTATCCACTCGGTGTCGACGTTCATCCCGATCCACATGAACATGGAGACTCCGTTTTCCAACAGGTAAACTCCGTTATCCTTCAGTCGCTCGATCGAACACCTGATCGCTGTGGGAACGTCGTCTTTGTCTGGGCTCAGGTTGTGCTGCAGGAGGGACGGATGTTAGTTAGGTTTGGGTTTCTTACATGTACAAAATATCTAAGGTGGAGACCTTGGGGTTTCAGTGTGTGTTATTTTCCCTTTTTGAATAGATTGTATGATTCTGAAATGACAGGACATGCCTTTAAGACATTGCCAAAATCTGTCTAAGTTGTTTTTTCTTTCATCCTGTCGTCAGCTCTGCACTTGGAGGTACACGAAAATGGCAGGGAAAGTGTCATAGTGGTGGTAAGTCCCTGTGGCTATGCGAAAACAGACTACAAACTTACAGAGTCAATGTCAGTCAGTGACAAAAGGTAGTGGTTGCCACCTGAAACGTCTGACCGTTATCTGCTTGAGTAATTGTTTTCTCAGTATCTCATTACCTAGGTGTCTAACCTTCATCAACATAACTGTTCCTGCAGTTCTGAGTGTACTCACCAGGGGGAGTAACCTGGGGTAGAAGAACGCCCCGGATGATGAGATGTCCATGGAGCTGAGGAGGTGCATGAGCCAGGCGCGGTCGTCTGTCGACGTCTTGGCCCCTCCCTGCAGCGCGTCACTCTTCAGCACACAGTTCACGTACAGGGGCAGCAGCTTCATGCACTCTGGCAGGATCAACTAAGGAACATAGGAGAGAAACCTTTAACTTAAACCCTCTTACCCTAACCCTAACCCTAACCCTTCAGCACACAGTTCATGTACAGGGGCAGCAGCTTCATGCACTCGGGCAGGATTAACTGGGGGGAGGGGACAGACAATTTCAGCACCCACCCTAACCCTAAGGTAGACTTCTCTCTCACACACACACGCATGTACACCATCACACACACAGACATACAAACACAGACACACACACAGACCGACCTGTCCTGCGGATGAGGGGCTGGCACAGGTTTTCCTGTACGTAGCCAGGATGTTGGCACACTGAGCCATCAGCTGCTCACGGATGGCTTTGGGAGTGGAGTTCACCACAGATCTCACAGCTACAGGGGGAGGGAGAAACACACTCATAAATTTTACAAGTTTTTATAGTTTAAAGCAAGAAAACAGCTCCTGATATATAAAACTGTCAACACAATTTTGTTACCAAATCGTCTACCAGATAGTATTACCCAGTGTTGACGTCACACTTCAAAGAAGCCATGTGACAAGCCTCACTGGGCCAGTCTACTGAGGAAGACCAGAGTGACTGGTCAAAAGCCCTAGGTAAGAGAACTTCTTTGTGTTGGATCAAAAGTTTTAACTACAAACAAAAGTTTTAACTCTAAACAATTCTTGGTGAGAGAATTTCTTTGTATGGATCAAAAATTTTAACTCTAAACAATTTTGTTACCGCTGATATCATCACGCAATTTCTACGAACAAAAGTTTTCACAAAAACTTTGGGCTTCCCTCCTTTATCAAAACTGTTGCCATGACAACATGTTGCCATGGAAACCGACCTTGTTTGGACAGAATGTTCATGATGGCGTCCATCTCACAGCTCTTGTAGAGGTCGGCCATGGTGCTGCAGCAGTTCAGCGAGAGGTTGTGAACTCTCAGTCTCCTCTGTCCGCTCACACTGGTGTACAGAACTGCACACTGCAGAACAGAACATTAGTGTAGAACATTACAGAACTGTAGCCATGGTGCTGCAGCAGTTCAGCGAGAGGTTGTGAACTCTCAGTCTCCTCTGTCCACTCACACTAGTGTACAGAACTGCACACTGCAGAACAGAAAATGTAGAACATTACAGAACTGCTGTCATTTCCCTGTCCCTCCTTACCTGACAGTGAAGCTTCTGCTCTTACCTTAGCTCCTCAGCCTGTCTTCATGGTTGGATGAGATTCGAACCTCTTACCACACCATCCAAAATCAGACCTCACCCGAACATACGCCCCAAACTCTTCGCTGAGCTTGTCTCTGGGTTGGGCGAGATTCGAACCCTGTACCACGTGATCCAAAAGCAGAACTCACCTTAACATATGTGCCGAGCTTTTCACTGGTCTTTTTGGTTACTGGACAAGATTTGAACCACTGAAGTAGACCGCTGTACCTTAAAAAGGTCTGAGATCTGACAATATCACCTTTAAATAGACCGTCTTAAGTCTGTCTGAAGGCCGAAAGACATGCAATCAAGACATTAGATAAACGGTATCAGATCTTAGATCACCTCTATATAGTCTCAAATCCTTCTCAAGAACAAAGCATGCACACTTAAGAAGCAAAGGGACATTCCAGAGTTCAAGTAGACCCCCCCCCATCTTCACCCGTGACTGAATTGTCTTCCTGAAGTATATACAAGGTCTTACTTATATCTTCCAGTACTTTGACCACCTAGCTGGAATTATTTCTAAAGGACACTTATGATTAGAAATGCTACAAAAGATTGTCTAATGGTCAAGAATGAAAACAATGCAATGTAGGGCCAAGGAAAACATTTGTATAATGACTTTACGAAACTTTCTGATGGCTGGGAACGGGATCTTGACCCACAAGACTATTCAATGGTCAGCTTAGGAAACGCAGGTCGGCAAGACGTCCAGTGGGCCATGTCATATCCAGGACCATGTTTCCGTATCCAGAACCATGTCCTGACACGGTTCTGGATAGTCTTACGCACGCGTATCCAGAACCTGGGGCAAAACTACGTTCTTGGATGTGCGGAGACTATCCAGAACCGTGCCTGATCCTAACCCTATCCCATTCAGGCATAGAACTAGACAGGCACGGTTCTGGGTACAATAGAGACTATCCAGAACTGTGCCTCACAGATCCTAACCCAAACCCATTCAGGCATAGAACTAGATAGGCACGGTACTGGGTACAATAGAGACTATCTAGAAACGTGCCTGATCCTAACCCTTACCCATTCAGACATAGAATTAGATAGATGGATAGATAGATAGATAGTTAGATAGATAGAACGTTATTGCAAAATTGCATATGGTACAATGTATGGCAAAGTACAGAAATAACAAAGAAGTAAAATATGTGTTGAATAAGACCTAATGTAGAACATAACGTAACATATCCTAATAGGCATGGTTCTCGATACTACCCCCCCCCCGTTCCCGCTTCCCCACGCCTGAGCCTCCTGTCCCGGCGGTATCATGGCTTAGATCTGACAGCTTCACGCCCAGGCGGTGACAGGTCTGAAGTGGGGGGCGGAGACCACCTAACCCCGGCTCCCCGGCAAATAGAGCGTGCAGACGGGCTCACGCTGGTCCTATGTTCCAGAAATAGATCGAAAGGAACCCCAAAGACCTCGTGATAATTTTAAGTGCGAAAGTTCTAGCCCGGGAGCGGCAAACTGTTCTCTCCACCGACCAACTCCCCTGGCATGCTATCTCTCTATTTGGCCTCTTCCCAGCCGCCTCCTGAAGCCTGGTAGAGGCTAGCGTATCCGGTGCTTCCACTTGTTCTAACACATGCGAGCCAGCGTGGATGTTAAGTCTGTAGCAGTGCCTGTAGAGTGGGGATTTGTTATACCGTGTTAAGGGCTGGGATCTGTACTGACTGTACAGTGGGAATCTGTTACCCGGTGTTAAGGGCTGGGATCTGTACTGACTGTACAGTGGGAATCTGTTACCCGGTGTTAAGGGCTGGGGTCCGTCCTGACTGTAGAGTGGGAATTTGTTAAGGTCTGGGGTCCGTCACGAGTCGTGTAGACTGGAGATTTGTAACCGGTCCGGAGGCCTGCGTTCCTTCAGGACTTGAGGCTCCGCGGCTACAGACAACACTGTGGTCACGTTAATCCGCTCATGTAAACATGGACAAGACGGGGATATGCGAGCAGCAATTGGCAATGGCGAACGGAGAGAGTAGCGGCTGGAAAGAGAAGAAACTTGCCAAATAGACTGATAACATGCCAGGGGAGTTGGGTACAGTTACTCTCCAAGCAGAGGTTGTGGGGTAATGATCGTGAGCTTTTTATGTATGACCTTTTTTTGTCGCTACCCTCGTCGGTGGCCGCGGACCTTCTCTGGCGACTGGATATTGCCTGGCCAATTTGATACTGTCTTTTTGCCACCGAAAAGATCTGCTTGGGGAGTAGGTCCTGAGTTTGAATCCTGCCATGCCATTGATCTTGTGCCTTTGGGAAAGACACAAATTTCCTCACTTAACTCATGTGAAAATGAGTACATGTATGTCTGTTGTTCATTCATGCATTTGTCTGTATTTTGCAGTGGCATAAAAATAAGTTGAGTGTGCTGAAATACATTAATTCCTTCCTTAAGTCTTTCAGGTCATGTTTTCATTCAGTAAATAAAATTTCAAAGTAAAATTTAAGCTAGAAGAGATTTTGCAGCAAACTTGCTCAGATTTGCTGACAATTATGATGTTAATGGTAGTTTCAATCATCATGTTACTTTGTCTTGCGAAATGTTTGTGCAACTGAGATAAATTTAAAGAAAAACACTCTGTGAATGCTGTTTCAGCACCAAGGAGAAAACCTGGCGTATTCAACAAGTGATTCATTGATTTACCATGATTTTGTTTTCAGTGTGTCGGTTTGAAAGACTAGTTAGTGTGTTGTTTTGACATATATTTACTAAAACACACAACAAAAGTTCAGCTACTGGGGAGCTTTCGAGATGCACTCTTGTCTCCTCTTCAACCTGGTTAAGATCTTGTCTTGGAGTTTTCTTGTCACAGGACTTGATATGATAATCACGTGACAAGAGACAGTCATATACAGGTTTGAGGTAGTGACGCCCCCTGTCCCTGTTTAAGAGACTGTTGTTGCTCTGTTGTCTTGCAAAACATCTCAGTAAACTGTTACAGTACAAAATTAATGATTAAGCCTCAGTGGTTGCTATTGTAAAGTCCAAATAGTAAAACATTCATTCATCCATTCATTCATTCATTCACTCATTCATTCACTCCTTCCCCAGACTGCGGACCTTTCTGTGACCTACAAGGACTCGTCTCCCACCACCCCGCTCATCTTCGTCCTGTCCACGGGAACAGACCCCGCGGCGGATCTCTACAAGTTTGCTGAGGAGATGAGATTCTCCAAGAAACTTAACTCCATCTCTCTGGGACAGGGACAGGTGGGAGCTTTTGTCTAATTAGTGAAAAGTTCTATTCTGCCAACCATTGTTAAGTTTGAATGTTGGTAATTGGTCCAAAGGTAACACTTTTGTTCTTCATTCAGAATTGTATAAATCAAGCAAATGGATATAAATTCTCTTATTTTAGCATAAGAATTCATCTGCGTTGGTACAATGAAAGTAATAAGTTTCACTCACTGTAATTTTTGGATGAAGACCAAAAGATTGCAAATTGGGGTGATTCTTTTTGACAAAGTCATCAAGAAAAGATAGCAAAACGTCATTTGAAACATCAGATTCTGAATGATCGGAAAATTTATCCAGTTTTCCTTATTCATTTTGTATTTTCTACCTGGCTGGATGTCTAAACTTCATTGATGTAATACCTTATATATTTATTTTGTCAAATTGTTCAGGTACAGGTACTTACATTTAGGTACTAGTATGCAGCTGCAGCCCTAGTTACTAAGCAAGTAAGGAATAAATGGTTTAATACATTCAATAGCCCTTCCCTTGCCCCCAAAAAATGTGCATTTAATGATACAGAATATAGCATAGTATGAAACTATATCTGAAATCCCCCTGTTCCCTGTAGGGTCCACGTGCTGAAGCCATGATGCGCGGGAAGTGGGTGTTCTTCCAGAACTGCCATCTCTCCCCCAGCTGGATGCCCACACTCGAGCGGCTCATCGAGAACATCGACTCTGACAAGGTCCACCGTGACTTCCGGCTGTGGCTCACCTCCATGCCCAGCCCCAAGTTCCCTGTACCCATCCTTCAGAACTCCTCCAAGATGACAGTAGAACCGCCACGAGGCATCAAGGCCAACCTGCTCAAGTCTTACACCGGCTACAACGACGACTTCTTGAACTCATGTACCAAGGTAGGGCTTTATAAAGAACTGAAAAATGTGTGTGTGTTTGAGTGTGTGCGGGATATTTCATGGCCTTGCTAATGCCAAATAAAGCCAATAATACAATGTATAATTCATTTGTAAGAATCCATGACTGTTATATTGTACATTGCCATAACATGTGCAAGCTAATACAAAGCATGCACACTTAAGAAGCAAAGGGACATTCCAGAGTTCAAGTAGACCCCCCCCCCATCTTCACCCGTGACTGAATTGTCTTCCTGAAGTATATACAAGGTCTTACTTATATCTTCCAGTACTTTGACCACCTAGCTGGAATTATTTCTAAAGGACACTTATGATTAGAAATGCTAATTTAATTATCAGTTCAGGTTATACTAAGCAAGGAATTCATTGATTGACAGAAGATATTGCCAGAAAACACTGTACTTAACAAATGTTGCCAAGGGAATATAATGTTATCAATATTATCAATCATAAAACTTTCCCTGGTTTTACTAAATGTATAAAGGGAGAAAGCAAGGTTGTCATAGTGTTCATGGTTCAAGCAATTCTGCAGTATAGTTAGTCATAAATGTTCAAGGAAGACATATTTTGTAGTGTCATGATTTCCTAGAGGGGAATTCAGACAAATGTGCAAACAAACCACAACAAAAGTACAACAATTTTTCAGTACTAAGGTCTGTGGACTATCAGACTGAGCAGAAGCCTTACCAGTGCCTGTAGAGTGAGGATGTCTCCCCAGGACCGAGATGACAGCCAATGAGGGGCAGGGTTAGGCAGCTCTTTAGGCACCATGGTTCCACCAGCCAGGAGGTACCTCCACTCATCCTGTACAAACATAGTGTATTTTCTTATGGTTAGTAAGTCTACCAGTCAACAGAAACTCTGATCAAGATTTCTACCAAACAAAATGTTAAACAAACAAACAAACAAACATACATCAATTTTTACACAAATTGGTAGTTCTGTATCTTTTTCTGAGGCCGTAGAGGCAGTGGGTTGTTAGTCCACAGTATTGGAAAGCAGAGCCCATCCCTCTCCTTCCACTGCCTTTTACAAAGTGTACCTCCCAAACAAAAGTATTCAGCTTTGGCCTGCAACTTGCTACATAATGTAACCCAACACCACCTGTAGGGTGTCTGCTACAGCACCAGTTACCATGCTGACAGACATCTGTTACGTGTTTGGAGAAGAAGAAGAAACTGAGCAAAAACAACATGTCTGAGCAAAAACATAAAAGACATTATCATTCTTATTAGTATTGTTATGTAATAAACATGGATGTATAACTCACCATGTCGATCTTCCCATCGTTCATGAGGATGCGAGCTCCCAGCAGGAAGGCGAACATGAGCTTGTGTTTCTCAAACAGCGAGCGGCACACGTTACTGTACAGGCTGAACGTCATGTACTCATTGATGTTCTCTATACGCTGCTCGATCTTTTCTGTAGGGCAAGAAACAACACAGGATTAAGCTGATGACATTGAAATGTCAGAACATTTAGGACAATATCTGAAAAATGTCTAATTGCTACAAATTCTGTCCATGATTCTAAAAACAAGCTATGTGGGGAGTTCCTTTATATTTGGCACCATCAATAAATAGCATTGCATTTTTGCCTCACTGCTATTTGTTGACTGATATTAGCGTCAGCTTAAGACATCTGAAAAAATTCCTAGAAAATTGACTTTGAAAGCCCAGTTTACTGTGCTGAAATTGCTTACTAATAGGTTGCCTAAGAGCATCCTCGTTCATTGACTTTATTTGTTTGGAGAAGGAGAAGAGGAAAAAGCTGAGCAAAAACAAAAATGTTTTTCTTAGAATCTGCAAAGGTAATAATTCCAAGTGTATACCTGCTCTTTCAGCATTAGCAATGCCGTTGAGGAAGATGGAAATGAACCACTCCAAGGAGTACTGGTACATGGGGTCCACATTGGCCTGGGGGGATTTATAAGAAATTAATAAGAAAACACAACAGATACTGCGACATGGTCTTTACTTCTAAAATCATACTACTGTATCAAGCATTTTTAAATTTCTTTAAGGTAAAGTAAACTCTGATAAAAACAGGACGCCTGACTGACCAGATCAGTGACACAGAAGAAGAGGATCTGTGTGCGCACGGCTACAGGGATGTACTGGGACCTGGTCTCATCTATGTCCTTCTCTGTCTGCTCTGCAACCACCACTTTAGCCTGAGGAGGAACAGAGAAAAAAACTACATCATCAAGAATGTGCTCTACTAATAATCTCAATCTTCAAAACTCAAGACTTCAACATTGTTCAATCCACAACTTACAACATAAAATTATTGTTTCAAAAATTCAATTTATATATTCAATAACATTTTCATAATGACAAGAAATGATGAAAAAAATAACAAGTTGCCAGAGTACAATTTTGGCCCTATACATAGACTGATGATTTTTTAGGTACTGTACCAGTACAATGTACACAGCACTAACTCTAAGCCATTTCAGCACCAAGGACAGAGCAACATCTGAGTAACAACAGTGTCCCAATGACCCACACAATACAAGAGACAGTTCACACATTAAAAACCTATAATTCATGTTACCTTAGGAAATGTGGGGTGAATTTATAAGGCGAGGTTACTGCTAGTTTACAGCAGTTGAAATTTTATAACTGGAATGTCATTACAACATGAACTTTTGATAATGAATACATAAAGAAATGAACTCTTCTTCCAAATCTTGACCCCTCTGACCTTGATCTCAGCAGACTTGATCTTGGAGGCCTCCAGTGTCTTGATAAGATCCACGTCGTCTACAGGGCTTCCCTCCGAGGCGCTCAGTCGGTACAAGATCTTGTCCTCGATCTCCTTTAGTTCCTGCTTCATCTTGGCGTTGGACACGATCAGCTGATTCTTCGCCTCCTCCAGATCAGGCCGCTCCTCTGCAACCACAATGCCGAGCAGCTGGTCTTCAAGACCACTAGGGAACGAGGTAAAGTTTAAGATAAATTTGCTTTTCATTTGAAGATGTTTTAAAGGCATGGTAAGTCAATATGTAACTGAGAGTATGGTTGACATGTTAGAATAGAAGAAGGTCTTGTCAGTACATTTTAGTATCTTGCATTTATCTAATTTCTCTTACAGCAGATCTAGTCAGTAGGGCAAGAACAAAATTATACTAATCAATTGCAAGATTAACCATTCAAATGTCAAAGTTGTTTTGTTCAAATCAAATATATCAGTTAAATTTACCAATGATGATGCAAACAGTGTGATTGCGTGTAACAATAGGTATAAATTAAATCAGCCTGTAATATTTATATTTAGCAAAGGAAAACATATTGTTTTTGCTCTGTTTCCTGTTTTTCTTCTTCTCCAAACCAATAAGGTCATTGACCTGAACCAGACGTCTGTTATCATGGTAACTGGTGTTGTTTACATCATGTTGCAATTTTATAGCAGGAGGGATTTAGACTCCTGTCTGCCCATAAATATGAATGTGTTTGAGTAAGAATAAACAGATCAGACCATATATGAAGGTAAACATTATGCATTTGCTTTGCAAATGTTACCTTTCTAGTTAAATAATAGATCAGCCCGGTTGTTCACTCAGGGACAAAAACACTATCTCTATCCCCCCGCCAGAACAAAAAGACTACAGAACTCTTTCCTCCACCAGTCAATCAGACTCTATAACCGGACTGTACAGATAGAGTCTGGCACAAGATAATGGACCTTGTAAATATCTGGGTTGTACACCTACTGTACTGTTTTTATAGTTGTTGTAAATATATAATTTTTTGACATTTTATCTTGTAAATATCAACGCCATTCAGGCAACATTGTATGTCATGTTTGTCTGTTATGTTTGGTATCCAAATAAAGAATTGAAAATTGAATTGAATTGATAATACCTTGAGGGTTATGATGATAGTAAATTGAACACATTTTTGTTGCCCTTACCTTGGAGACAGAGTGAAGTTGACGAGAGTAACCTTAGCAGACACCTCGGGTGTGTAGTGAGGGTTGGGCAGTTTTGTGGTGATGTAGAACTTGAAGTCATCGTGATACGGGATGACAGCATCTCCCAGCTTAATCACTGTGCTACCAGACTGCTTAAAGGTCTGAGAAAGGTGGGGAAAATATGATTATGTGTATGGTACAAATTAATAGAAAAATACAGTTTTGTATTTAATACAATGTAGGTGTCTCGATAAAATTTTGATATTGCCGAAAATTCTGGTGCATTTTACATTTTAGAAAGTTGTATTCTGTCTGTTATAACTGAATGTGTTTAAACTAAATGTGAGACTAGCATTGAGATTTGAATACCGATAGTTCTGTCAGATCACTTCTGTTATTTTTGTTTTATTTTATTTTTAATGTATGTTAAATAATCATCAGTTAATGACCATAGGAATCATACAATTATTGTAAACAATGAAAAAAACCCTGATCAAAAAAGTTTCTGGTTTCTCTGACATCTTTTCTGTATTTGTATTACAAATTGTCTTGTTTTTTATGTGCAAACAAACAAACAAACAATGAACAAATAACTAAACACAAATATCAGATTCTAAATGTCATGACTGCAGTGTAGGAAATTATGTTCAAAGAGTGGTAAAGGGCATAAGAATTGTTTGGTTCAGACATTTAGAAAGTGACTCCTACCAGTAGTTGGAGTACCAGTGTCACTAGCTGACGAAAGGTGGTGGATGCTATTTGAAATGTCTGATCATTTCCAAAATCATATCCAGTTGCTTGAGTAACTGTTTTTTGGTATGACTCCTACCTGTTTCAGCAGGATGGGTTCCAGTGCAGGGTCCATCTCCTCTCCCACATTCTCCAGTAGACAGGGTTTACCGAACCTCACCGCGTTCTCCAGACTACGCAGGAAGTCACGGTCCGTCAGTTTCAACACGTCAAGTCCGTTATCCTTTTCCTGAGAGATACAGGAGGTTTCTCTTTATTATACCCAGATTCATTGGAAAAGGATCATTACCTCAAGCAAAAAGTATGGAATGCTCAATGTTGATATTACAGATGACATTATAGAAGACTTATGAGGATCTGTGTTTTCAGTACCAAGGACAGGGACACGTGTCTTCAATACAGGTAATATGGATGTTCCAAGGATACAAAACACAATGTACCAACTCTGCAAAATAGCAGTCATGTTGAAAACAAGAAACAAGTAGTTTCAGAAATAGGTACAAATTCAAAAAGCTTTGAAGCTATGTGTTCTGAATGAGTTTGGTAAAAGAAAGAAGGAAGAAAGAGGGAGAGAGGGAAGAAAGAAAAAGGAAGTTATCTGGCACGTATGATCCGCTACTACGGTCAAGTGTCTCTGATGTCACGTTCCAAGAGTATAACCATTCCAAGAACAAGGTTGGAGGAGGCAGCGAAAATTTGGGTAAGTTTCAATTCATTCCAGTGTTGGAGAGAAAGCTTAGTCTTTATGTCAGAAAAGGGAAGGGGTTTGCCTTTCATTGTCAGTAACTATGTAGAAAAATAATCCAGATATTTACCATGTTCTTCACCCATTTGTTAGCCTGTCCCTGTGGGTCGATGAAGAGCGGCCAACGGCGCAAGAACTGCACCACGATACCATTCTCCACGGACAGGTTGTCCCGCGGCAGCCCCGCGATCTGCCAGCTGCGGATCTTGACGGGGTCTCCCAGTGTGCTTGTCAGGGACTGCTCCTGGGAATGAGGCACTCCGTTCTCCTTCAGTCCCTCGATCCAGATGTTCAGCAGGTCTTGTCGATATTCACCCTTTGGAGGGGAAAACAAGTCTTGTTAATCTATTTGTTTTGACTTAAATGAGAAAATAGAGTCTTGTGATAAAGAAATCTAGATAAAGGGGAAAGAGCACATACTTTCTGCAGTACAAAATGTATGTTCAGTAAGATAATTCTTTCAATCAGTGACTATTAAATCCTAAGGTACATACCTCCGAATGTATGTTGTTCTTGATAATTGATCATTCAATTTTATTTAGCAAGAAGTGGACCAAGAACAGCAATTTCTTTTTTCTTTTCTTTTTTTTTTCAAAATAACAAAACAACACAAAGAAGTTCTATGGATCCTCAAACATAAACAAAGTAGTACGGGTACAATGACAAACAGAATAATACGTATCAAAATAATATGAAATATAAATTAATCAAGAAAAAGGGTATGTTTACAAACGAAAATCAAGGAGCTTTCATCATACTTAAACAAAAATAAACATGACTAATTTTGTCTAGATTGACGAAAACTTAATAATTTATTTATTTATTTATTTTGCAAAATCATGCCCGAAGGCTAATTGCTTGTACAGTCAAGTATACAGAAACAGGAGACAGGTAACAATCTGTCTGGAAAAACCTCTACTTCTACTACTACTCTAGCTATTAAGGGGTTCGACTTCTTCTTTGAAGGCAGTGGATAATGAATAGTCCCACATTCTGCATAATTAGTGGGTTTTGTGATCTTAGTAGAAATGCAGTTTTTTGGTGATCTTCTAAATGACGAAATGATGGAGAGATTGTTGTGACTGTCTGAAATAATCTGTTTCTTTCGGTCTCATAGTGAGGACACTAGCTAACAAAATGTGTTTCATTTTCCACTGCATTCATTGTACAATATTTACATAATCTCTCGTGCACAGGTAGTTTTTTATAGCGGCCTTTTTCTATCTCTAGTGGATGCGCACTTACTTTTAGTATTCTAATCTTACACATGGCAGCTCGTTCGTTGAATTCATTGTGGTATAGATATTTTTCCATGGAGTATTCGGATTTGACGGTCTTGTAAAATCTTAGCTTGCCGTTATCTACAGACAATGGTGAAAGAACGTTTGAACATACATATCAGTTAGTCTTCTCTTCAACAATGTACATATGCTCTTGTTGTCTAATTTCTAATACACTAGAAATTTCTTATTTCTTTTACAGTCTCATTTCATTGGATTGAAACTTTGCAGTACTACTGTTTCAAAGTGAAGTGATAGCAGGATTTCTCTAGTATTGAGTATTACAAACAAATTGAAAGTCCTTGATGAAATTAATACACAAGGCTAATTCCCTCACAGAAATTTCATTCATACTTTTGGGCTAACATGTTCCCAAACCAATTTACTATCAAAGAGATCTTGACAATCTTCAATCTGAAAAAAAATTACAACTCACAGGGAAGATATCAACTGACAAGGCCAAAATCCTGATTTTTTCGTGGTTTTTGTTGGATATTTGGTCACTGTTGCATCAGAATTTTGCCTGTTAAAGACGGCATCTTTTCCGACATAGCATTTCGAAACAACAGTCGGGATGTTAACCTTACATATTAATCATTATGCCATTTTGCCAATGTGCTCTCTTGGTGTAGATATAAGAAATCAGAACTCACTGTGAAGACTCCTAGGTAAGCGACTGCGCCCGATGCCGCCAGCACGTCTCCGATGGCGTTGTCCACCATCTTCTCCAGGTACTTTACTGACTCCGCCCAACGGATTTTCTCGTCTGCCAGCCCGCCAATCAACTTGTCTGCTCGAATCTATAGAAAAAAATGATGATTACAAGATGTTGCTAGAACATTTGAAACCGTTGTAAAGTACTGAATGATTTTTTCATCTGCAGGTCCACTAATCAACTTGTCTTCCCAAATCTACAAGGTATTATACAGCAAAATGAAAATTTACTTGTATAATACTTTTATAATTTCTCTACCTGCTCAAATCTATAAACTAGAGGCATTAATATGAAGCGTAACTTCAACAGTTACTAAAACTCCAGCTCTATAAAAAAAAGATAATCATTTCTGAGATACAATACTAAAGTCATATCAAGAACTCAGGAGTTACTGTATTACAAAAATCTAAGTACTGGAGGTATTACAAAAAATATCCCAAAGCTACTATTTAGTAGTAAGAAATACAGATCCCGACTTCGACAATAACACATATGACATTGCTGCTTTCTTTAATAAGAAAACAATCCTTAAGACTTTTCCCTTGATTTTTCATGACTTATGTGGGGTCCTGTGGTGCAGCGGTAGCGCGTTAGGCTCGGGACCTAGAGGTCCAGGGTTCCCATGTCACCATGTCACCGATCCTGTGCCCTTGGGAAAGGCACTTTACACAAATTTCCTCACTTCACTCAGGTGTAAATGAGTACCTAGCTTCGGTTAGGGACGTCCCTCGGATTGGACGTAAACTGGAGGTCCCGTATTTGAGGAGAGCCACACCTCGAGCATGTTAAAGATCCCACCACACCTTTCGAAAAAGAGTAGGGGCATGTCCCGGTGTGCGATGGTCCAAAATTCTACAGCCCAAATACTACAGTGTAGCAGAATCATTCAGCAAGTTGACGTTGGCTACCTTAACCTCCAAGACCAAGACCAAGACCAGACTTACCAGTCTCTGTTCACACTCGTCACACTTCTGTTCCAGCTCCTCCTCTTTGGCGACACACTCCTCGTACTTAGCCTGGAGCGTGGCGATGCCCTCCTCCACCTCAGCCAGCTGGGCCTTAGCCTTCTCCAGGATGGCCTGGGTCCGGGCTAAGTCCTCCTGGGCACCTGCTAGGGCAGCCTGGGGGAAAGGGGGAGAGGATGAGTATATTGTATTATTTTGTATATTTTATCTATTTATTTTATCTAATCTTTGATTCAGACCAATGGCCCATATATAAAAAGAAGGACAAATATAAAAATACACAAATTACATACAAAGGTTTAAAAATAAAAGTATAATAAAAGTATGAGGCTATTTTACACTGGATATTTAGGTGTAGCTTGAATCATTTAGACTTAAACAGAAATTAAATTGGAAATAAAATTTGTGATAGTCTGACTACAAATGCCTATTAGTAAGTGTTTTTCTAACACTTATCAACAAATTTGTGCAATCATCTCACATTTCTGATGTTATGATTGGCATTTGAATAGCCTGCACGAATCGCACTCAGTTTGTGGTACCACCACAAAATACCAGAATGTAAACAATGGCTGACAGTTGTGTTTCTAATTTTTAAATTTTTTGTAGGGTAACATATTTTAGCACTTCCACTTCCTGAATGGCACTTTATTTGCAACGGAGTAGGGTTGATTTAACTTACTTTGCAAAGAAATGACCAGAAAATGCCCTTTATGCCTATCGTTCTAATGTTACACAATGCAGCTTTAAGAAGAAAGCAACATGTCTCCTGGTACTTACCCTTTTGGGTGCCACAGACTTGGCCACAAAGTGGTACTTGTGCATGGCTCTGACCCACTGGCAGATGGAGGTACAGGCTTTGGAGACTTTGGCAATGGCTGCGGGCTGGAACTCCTCATTATCAATGTACGGCTGGATCAACTTGATGTTACTGTCTGGAATGTTGTCCTGAGGTGGGACACAAACACAAAATAGTCGTCATTATGCAATTTTAGAGATTTAACAATTTTTGTGATATTGGTAGGCATACAGCTGAAATAGAATTGTAACTAGCCCAATAAACTACTGCACTGTTTATTCTTACTCAAGCACTTTCATATATATTGTGACCAGCCCCTCCATCTCTTTTCTACCACTTGCTACATAATCATGTAATTCAACACCACAGGGTGTCTGCTACGGCACCAGTTGCCATGGTGACAGACGTCTGGTCCAGGTCATTGACCTTGAAGCTAAACCACCGTATCACCGTTCTGTAACCTGCTACATCATTGTTTTATCCACTCTTGTTGTCCTTTTATTCATCTTTGCCAAAATGATGCCCCTCAACAGAGAGAAAACATCATATTCCATTTTCAAACCCTTGGGAGACGGGAAACAACAGATGCCAAACTGGATAGTGAGTGAGTGAGTAAGTGAGTGAGTGAAAGACCAAAATGGCAAATAATATGGCTGACTGTGAAATAGATTGAGATTTCAATATGGCTTTAGCGGGGTCGTGTGGCGCAACGGCAGCGTGCTCAACTTGAAACTAAGAGGTCCTGGGTTCGAGTCCTGACATGCCACCTTGTGCTTCTGGGAAAGGCACTTTACACGACTTTCTGCACTAAACTCAAGTGAAAACAAGGATTGCTTGTCCAGTATTCGTTTCCATGTGTGCGACACAACACCAGCAACAGCTGCCTGTGTCCCACATGTATAGCACTCTAACAGTTGCAATTTCAATAAATCAAATCAAATCCAATACCTTGTCATATTTGAAAAGGCTCTCGAGGAATTTTCCGGGGTCCTGTAGCAGAGCCTTGCCAGGGTCCCAGTAGTCATCCACCTTCTTACCAGGCTGGTCCCCGGCGACCTTCTTAGGTTTGATGCTCTTCATGATGCAGACAGCCTCTATCACCATCCTCACACCACCAGGGGGACGCTGCATGGCACGCACCTGGACACACACAATTGTTATTAATTATCATATATAATAATCATAATTAGACAATTAATTTACTCCAGGGCCTCTTCTTTCATCAGACACAAAGTGTATACGTATATGTATACATAGCCCCAAACGCTATAGGGGAGACAGCAGTGAAACGGTTCTCCATTAAAACATATGCTAAATCAGACATGAAAATGGGCATCATATCTCTAGTTTACGAAGTTTTTGTCACACAAACTCACCTTCACGTGTTGGCCAATTTAATAATATGTAACTACAACAAGTTTCGGAAAAAAGTGGTCGGCTATTCTCGAGGTACAGCCTTGTTTATAAGAATTCGTGCACTTTGACCCCATATTCCAGGTCGATACCAAGGCAGGAGGCAGGAGGGGTGTATGGCAACAGACAAGCCCATAACAAGGCAATTTCATGGAAAAACTTCATTTTTTTTGCAAAAACATTCACTCAAAACCCTACACTGTACAACCCACCACAAAAATGCCAAGAATTCAACAAAAATCCCACCCAAAAAAGGGTTTTAAAGTTCTTTAGCTCATTTTCATTTTGAGGTCTCTCACCCAGCAACTTGTGCGCATGCCCTTCAACCCGCGTCACCCCCTAAGCTCTTGGAAATAGGGGGTTTGGAGCAAGTGTGAGTTACATAATATAAAGACTTATGACTGTAAGGAAATCTCCAAGACTTTCTTTCTCCCTTTTTCACAAATGATTTTTGCCCCTAGGGGGTCTGGAACTCTGGTACTTTTGTTCTTCAATTTCCCAAATCCTTGAGTTTTCCCAACAATATGCTGCTATTTATTGGTTAGAGTGCACATTTCTTTTTCCATTTCAGTAACTTATTTCTTGATCATAAGACATACTTTTGCATAACAGACCAACGAGACTGGGGTAGAAAAGCACCATTTCCTGTCCCCTTTTCCAGGTCGCAGCCACGTGTGGCACATGGCAGTTGTATAAAACATTTCATACACAACTAGAGTTCCACGATCTCATACCTTCGCCAAATGATGTTAGCCTTTATGAATAAGAAATATACTAATCACCCAGATTATGCAAATAGGATCCTCAATTGCATGAATTATATCAGTCTGTTGATCATATTCTCCACCAAAAGACAGTCTTATCTTAACAAAGAATGCCATTTTCTCATAAATTATGCAAATGTGGTCCTTATTTGAATAAGTTATGTTTAATTATGTTCACCTTCACTTAACTTTCAAACACCCCAAGTATGAAACTCCAGGCAGTTACCACTATGCAATTATAACATTTTCTTATTAATTATGCAAATTAAGTCTTCATTTGCATAATCAATATTTGCCTGTGTTTCTCTCGTTCTTAATAACATATGTTACAAGCTTGAACTTCCTATCATGGAATGCAGCTGATTTATAGAATTTCCTCATTAATTATGCAAATTACATCAATATTTGCATAATTGTAATATCATTATGTCAAGCATCACTTAAGCTACCTACATACCAAAAATCACGATGATCCATCAATCGGTTCTTGAGTTATCCTCTTTTAAACATTTGTCCTTTAAACCCCCCTGCAGTTCTAGAGCAAGCAACTAGGGGGCTCATACTCATGTCACTTCATCCCCAGCACAAGAGCTATCTACCATCTAAATTTCGTCACCCTAGCATGTCTGGATCATGAGATATCAAAACTGGAAGTTCTGCTGCAGTACCATGACAAGCCGCCAGGGGGCCCAAAATCTAATCATTTTGAGGTCTCATCAAGACCTACCCACCTACCAAATATCAAGTCAGTCCATTTAAGCCTTCTCAAGTTATCGTGTTTACACACACACACACACACACATACACGAACGCCTCTGAAAACATAACCTTCTTGGCGAAGGTAAATATATTGAGTACTTTGTCAAACTAACTCTATTTTATGTTTTAGAACCCATTTATATTCCATTGTCAAACTCTAATACTCACAAACTAGTGCCCAGCAATGTCTACTAGAAGTAACAAAACTCATATTGAAAACATCAGAAAACTGTGCAGACTGTGTGGTAGAAATGCCCTCACCTATGCTGAGAAACTTGCTAACCGCCCCTCTTTAAGATGCATTGATCATACAGCTAAAATAAAGGAAACATGGGGCATTGATGTTACAATGGACAAGAGCTACAGACATCCTCCTTTGATCTGTTACAAGTGCTACAAAAAATGTTCAAATAAAACTGATTATGGGGGGAAAGCTGATAGATTCACATGGAACAACCATTCAGTGCCATGTGAACACTGCAACACAGCTACAAATATTGCTAAGGGGGGAAGACCCAAAAAGCGACGACCACCATTCAAGCCCAAATCATCCTGCTCGGCCTCTTGTAGTAAAGAACCTCCTGCTCCATGCACATGAAAATCAAGTGATGCAGAGGAGTCTGGGAGGAAAGAGGGTAACCAGGATGACTCAGGAGCTGCTTGTGCTAAAACACCAATGCCTTATGACTCCACGACTGCAAAGGAGCCTACACAGACCACTTCATCCGCTCACTTTGACAACAATTCTTTTCTGAGATTATTGGACAAACTTGAAGATTTCACCATTGATTTAGATAGATTTGTGGAGGTAGGGAGTGTAGAAGGATACAAATGTGCAATTTGCAAATCTCTCCTATACCTTCCGGTGCAGACTCCTTGCAATCATGCTTATTGTTTTAATTGCATCCAACAGGCATTCATCCATGCTAATCATAACACAATCTCCTGTCCAGTGTGCAAACTGGTAGTACATCAAGATCATGTCACACCCGTTAACACATTATTCTATGGCGCGTTCTTACAGATCACCTTTCAATGCAAAACTTGCACAGATGACACATTAAAACCACTTCATCTAAGACTCGATCAATTAAAACATCATGTTTGTACACAGTCTCCACGGAAAACAAATACCTTACGCAACCCTAGCACTCCTGTCACAATGCCAGTAGTAGTTCTCACCCTTCCAGTCTTGCAAACCCCAGTATCAAACAAGGTTCCAACCACCCAGACAAACACAGTTGAAGTACCATCCCCTCCTGAACAAACCATTGCAGCGCCAGGTCCTCCACAGCAAACTGCTGGTATGGTAACTATTGATGTGAACAAATCGGGTCCTCTCAGCAATTCTGAGCAGGACGCAGCAACAAAACTTGTCAAAAGGTTATTGGAGTCCTCAGAAGATAGCAGAACAATAAAGCTCAAAACAGGAGGCCAGGTGAGCACAATATTGTATTCCTACTGAGTTAAATATTTGAAACAAACCATTGTTAACATGTTGTATATAAAGAAGATAGAAAGTAACTTACATTACAAGTGTCCTACATACAAATGGCAGTGTTTGCTAGCCCTTGTAACTAGTTACATGTAACTTTCATAACAGATAAAACTGTAACCAAGAAAAGACATATTATACTCTTGTTCATGATGTAATCATATGAACCTCTAAGGAAATTAATATTCAACTTTTTAATACAAACTATTTGTTCCTCTGAATGAAATAGCCCATTGCCATGATGAAGGTTGTGCAACCCAGAAAAAAAACTGGTGAGGCAAGCACCACAACCAAACGAAAACGGGTTCGGGCCATGGATGAGGTGCGGACAGTTGTCAGTGGTGGTGCCTCGGCCGAACAGTTCCAGGATGAGATGAAGGCCATACCAAAGGCACAACTCCTAGAGATGTTTCACGACTTGGGCCTGGATCAAGTCAGGATACCAAATGGTCACCTGTTGGCGGCAAAAGTAGACTGTGGGTTCAACTATAACCAGATTAGAAAGCTGCGCAGGTTTGTTTTTTTCATATCATTGCCTTGTATACAAGTTATTGTTCCATTCCAATGTGCTTGTGTAACTTACACATAAAACATAATGTTTAAACTTGCTAAGGATGCCTGATGGTTATTTCTCACAGATGGCTAAAGAAGTATGGAGTGGCAGTAGAGTCGGAGAGAGTATCAAGGCAGGTGGCAAAGAGCCTACTGTCCAACATAACCATCCATGCCGAGTGCCTACCCTTCACAGTTAAGACCCCCAATGGCACAAAGGTAGATTTGCTGCCATGTGCATATTTGGAGAGTCTTAACAGCGCCATCTTGGACAACTTGTCCCGGGCCTCAAGCTCAGGGTAAGAATACTACCTAACTACCTGAAATTTGCCTTTTCTTTGCTCATATATTTCAATTTGTGTGCTTGACTTTAAACTATTAACTTTATCGCCATTCATTTCTCTTTATTAGAAAACTGACTTGGCATGAGGACAAGATTTATATAATAGTGAGGAGGAGGTCTGGATCAAGATTTTGGGGGACCATGGTCGGGGATCGTTCAAGATGGCATTTCAGCCGCTGAACAAGCTTCACCCGAACTCAAAGTCAAACACTGTTGTTTGCTGTGTGTTCGAGGCCAAGGACAACAGGGAAAACGTCATTACAGGGACGAAGCGCTTTGCACCTGAGATCAAGGAGCTTCAAGTGACGAAGTGGAAGTAAGTTGCCAGCTTGCTACTAAATAGATAGAGACCATGTAAGAACTAAGATGATGATTTGAAATAAATTGTATGCGCAATATATATATATATCCAGTACTTACAAATGTGTCTCATCTTCCTGGCTTTTAGATCACCGGACGATACATCATACTCCATCAGGGTGTTTGCAGCATCAGACTATTAATTGTTGTCCTTGTGGTATGGCATCTCTGGAGCCTATGGTGAGAAATTATAATTAATAATTCTCATTGTCCCTTTTCTTCTTTGTTTACAATGCTATTAGTATTAAAAGTATTCTTCTGACCCTACAATGTTATCATCCTGTGCTTCAGGTGTCCATCCCTGTCTCTGGTGTGAAGAGACAAGAAGCAGAATCCAACTGCCAAAGTCAGAAAGGCAAACATGTCCTAAACGGACATTAGAGAGTTTGTCCTCTGATTACAATCGTTTCCTGGAAGAGGGGCAAGGAAACATCAAGAAGGCCAAGAATTTCAAGAATGTCATTGCTCCCCCAATGTTTGAGATTCCTCTGAATCAGGTATGATCAGTAAAACATTCTACTATATAAGTGTTGCTTTCATTTGAAATAAAACATTAATTTCAAAGTTAGATGTACAAACTCAATGGCATGTTACTTTAACATGAAGCCAAGAAGAGGGGGGTTGTCATTAATATGTGTGTGTTTCCTGCAGGTATGTGTTCCTGGCCTTCACATCAGTTTAGGACTGTTTCACAAGTTCTTCAAGATGTTGGAGGCAGACCTTCAGGATATAGATCTTATACTGGCTTCTCACCTCGCAATGCACATACTTCCGGATGAAGAAGTGGACCCTGCTGAAGTCATGATGGACCCCAATCTGCATGGCTTGACCAGGTATGTGGAGGCTGTAGATCAGGCAAGGATTCACGAAGCAGAGGCAGCTGCCCTGGAGGAAGAGATAGAGAGTTGTGAGAATGACCTGGCCTGGATCATCTATAAAGGAGGGGATGACTCCGATGAAGATGATGATGACGACTCCACAGTAGAGCAGAATGCAGCTGCACTTGAGGAAGACATCAAGTGTCTTCTTGAAAAGAAGCAAAAACTGGTGAGTGGAGCAAGAATATAGCCATCTATGTTTACAGTATTAAAATAAAGTTGACTGAAAAGTTCAGTATAAAGTTCTTACATCAATATCATATTTTGTCTTCCTTCCCAAATACTAGTTGAAAAAGGCACAGGACATCAGACAGGACAACAAAATCACCGTTGCTGAAGGCCCGCTTTCCAAACAACTGGACGAGGTTCTCAAGAAGTACAATGTGAAGCGCCAGGCCTACCACTCACAGTCCTTCATCGGGAATCATGTTCAAGCAATGCTGAAGGTACTTTAAGTGTTTTGAAGCGAGTGTTTGCACCCTCATATCCTCAAACTGCTACAGAGTAGAAGTATAAGAAGTGATTTGCTAATGAATGAAGGATTTTACATCTAGTAAATCTTTTTCCTCTTGACAGGATAGACCAATAGAAGACTTGACAACAACAATAGTGGCAATCGCAAGTGAGCTAGTGGATGGCTACGACTTTCCTCTGGGTATTGGGACGAGAGCACGGCGTGTACAAGAAAAGTATCAGAAGCTTTTTAAGCTTTTTGCTACATGTCACAGACTCTATTCACATGCAAGGCCCATGACAGAAGAGGAAGTTTGTGAGCTAGGTATGTCAACTTTCTTCTCAGCCTAACTTTCTCCTCAGCCTCTCTTCACTTTTCTACTACCATATTATATGTATGTGTACAGGATCTCACTTTTTGTCCTCTGTTTCTTTATTTCAGATGAAGCAATCAAAAGCCTCATGGCTTTCTACCGGGAGACATTCCCCACAAGCTCCATCACGGTAAAGATGCACATGTTAGAGGATCATGTAGTTGACTGGATCAGGACATGGGGATTCGGCTTAGGGTTTCACGGCGAACAGGGTATTGAGGAAATCCATGCTGCACTGAATAACGTGGGAAGAACAACATGGGGCATCGCCAACAAAACAAAGCAGCTACAGTCACTACTCTACAACCATCTAATTGCAGTCAGTCCGGACCACAAAGGGGGTGTGCCAGCCCCTAAAAAGAGGACAAAAAAGGACTAGACACTCGTACCTTCTTAGTTCTACGCTGTCCTCTTCTGCTGTAATTTCAGTCCTTGTAGTACTGTAGAGATGATCCTGTGTCACATGTTGTCATCTGCCATGTGTAACACTGTAAATAGATTTAAAGCACTAGTTAGAAATTCTGTTACATCACATTTGCTTTTCTAATTGTGTATTAAGTTTCTGCAGATGAACATGTGGATGAACATGCCATTACACATGAACATGTACAAGTACTTACAAGTTGTGTACATTGCTAACGTTAACTGTTACATAGATGTTATTCCTATATTTGATGTCATGCAGTTTGACACTATTGATGTTTGAAATAATCCTGTGATTATTTTTGGCAATGATATCTGATTTAAATAGTTTGTGTACCTCTGTAAATATGTTCAACCTTATTTTTACAAAGCATGTATCAAATTCACTTATCAGTCTTACAATTCATGAAGTATTTCCTGCTAGATTTCCTTGTGAACTCCATATGCATGTGTGTATGTGGGGAGGGGGGCACACAGAAGTTGACTGTCACACTATATCAACTCTACACACAGGATTGACCCAAATACTACCTTCTGATAAGTGCAAAGACATCACATTAAAAGAAAATTTTACACTTCAGCTCATTGATTCTTCTTAATTCAAGAAATAATCCCAACCATAGTGACGTCACAATGACAGAAGGCTCTCAACATACCTTATTTTGCTGCTTCACCACTGGAATCCTCTTCTTATGATCAAAAAATGACTGCTTCCAGTTTGTAAACAATCGTACTGACCTCCCAAAAACAGAGAGATTGAGCCTGGGAAAACTCAAGGATTGCAGAAATCTTCAGTAGAAGTTCCTACAATTTCTACATATTCCCTTGGGTGTGTTTGTGAAGAAATTTTGGCCGTACAGCGTCAAATCCAGGCCTGTTTACAAAATTCCCTCAGAAATAGCTTCCAAACTGTCATGGCTGCCTCTAAGCCCAGCTTGGCTGTAGTGACATCATCGCAAAGGCCAATTGTGATTGGCTAAAGTTAGGTGATGCCACACAAAGGCTGCAGTACCCCCAAGCGGTCGGTAGATGTCTCTTGGGTACGTAGCTCATTGCATATTAATGACATGCCCACGTCAGCTCAAACTAAGCTGATGCATGGGAACTGCTTTAACTCTGTTTAAATCAGTAACAGAACAGGAATTTTCAAGTTCTTCAGAATCTTAAAATATGTCTTTCGACATTTCCAAAATGACTGCTTTTAATGATTGTCATTCCTAAGGGCTGATATATAAATTTACAACACAATTCAGGCTGTTTCAGCCTGCAATGTTGTTTTGATGAATAGAGTTTACAGGATTTTTATGCGATAAGACCTAAAACATCTTTTTTCTATTGGCATCAAAGAACTGTACTTTATCCTACAGTATTTGTAACATCAAACCCACTGAAACCAACATAAGAATTCATTTCTGCATCGCACAATTAGTCTCTATAACAGCCAAATGCAGACTTAATAGTTTTTATGTGTTGTACATATTGTAATTGTCGTGAATCTGTATGTTCTGTTCGTACCTATGTTGTATTTCTATGTATTATGTAAGGTCAGCACAATTCAGCTGTCCATAATTCTTTTTTTATGAACTGCTGACCACTGTTTTGAATAAAGAACAAGTAAAATCTGAGATTTTATACCTCCGGGCTTTTTATTGTATATTTTTATATGTTGTTTGTTATGCATAGTTGATGGTGTTGAATTTTGTGCACAACAACAATTGTTGCGCGCCGCAGGACTAGGATTTTAAACAAAGAATGTATCGAGACCGGACACCCCTCTGTGCGAGGGGTCATATACGTGGACCAGACCGAGAATATCTTAAACACGCCAAAGGTCAACGGTCGCGACCATTTTCACGCTCAAAGGGGTGTTCTGGGGCCACCAAAAGTCACCATTTTCACGCCCGAAAACACGTATACAATAAAAACAAAAGAACGTGCATTATCTGCAGCCCAATAGCAAAACATATACCGAGTCTCAAAAGAATACGTCCACCCAAAAGCGAGAAACAGCTGCGAACATGAAAATCTAAATCTCTCACAAAACCCTTCCGCGGAAGAATGTCTCCTCCCCCGGAGGTAATAAAACCTTACCTTATCCAAACCAGTCTTCATCCTATTCCTGGCAGTGTTGAGTTCTGTTTTCTTCATGCCCAGTAGTCTGGAGAAGATGCCCAGCAGTTCCAGGTAGCTGGTCGGGGTGACGTAGTTGTGACGTGACAACTCCGCCAGGTACTGGGTCGACTTCTTAGCCACGGTCAGCTGCATCGCCATACACATCTTAACCTGTGTGGGGGGGGGGGAATGGATGTCAATGTTAAATGGAATTTACAAATACTAATAGGCAAATGCATGACAGACTAGAAAGCTAACATTTGCAAAGCAAATGCATAATACCATCGCATATGGTCTGCTCTGTTAATTCTTACCCTAACACATTCATATATATGGTCAGGCAGGAGTCTACATGTAAATCCGTCCTGCTATAAAATTGCAATATGATGTAACCCAACACTAGTTACCATGGTGACAGACATCTGGTTCAGGTCATTGACCTTTTTTGGTTTGGAGAAGAAGAGGAAACGAAGCAAAACAAATTTAATATGTTTTCCTTTGGTAATTACAAGTACATGATGAGGGGAAAAGACAACAAACCAGTAGTCCAAGCATTGTCAGAGATTTCAGACTTCTTGGCAGTATTTACGGTTTATGTGACTTTCAAGATCCCAGACCTCTGGAAAGTGTTTTAGGTTCGTGAATAGTTTCATGAGGTTTGGAGGTCACAGAATAAAGAGAGTCTTTTTTACAACCAAGTGTTTTATTCAGTGAACCAGTCAGATTTGCCCTGAGGAAGGTGACAGACTGTCACTGAAACGTTGGCTGAACAAAACACTTCGTTCATTCATGTATTTAGCTTTGTTCAATCATAGTTGTAGTAGACTATACAAAAGTCCTTGTACTTTTGTCGAGTCAATAAAGAATCTTAATCTTATCTCCACAAAAAGATGAAGAAGAAGAAGATGAGAACCTACCAGTCCATCCATGAGGTCCTGGTCCGTACTGTCGATGTCTGGTATCTCCTGTAGGAAGGTGTTAGCCACTGACGTCAGGGCATCTGCCGGCCACTCGCTGAACCAGTCAATTGTACAACAGTTCACCAACGACGGGAACTGACGCAGACGGGCACGGAACACCTCTCCGATCGGACTAGGGAAGGAGAAGAAGATACAGTTAAAACTAGAAAAGGAACATTTACAAAGCAAATGCATAATGTTTACCTTCACATATGGTCTGCTCTGTTAATTCTTACTGAAACACATTCACATATATGGTGACAGGAGTCTAAATCCCTCCTACTATATGATTGCAACATTATGTAACCCAACACCTATTACCATGGTTCAGGTCATTGAACAGGTCAGTGTTTGGAACAGAAGAAGAAACAGAGCAAAAACAATATGTTTCCCTTTGGTAAACATAATAATTTCATACACAAAAAGAAGCTCTCAGCAAATTAAACATGTCTTGAAAACATGATCTAAAATGAAAAGATATAGAACTAGAAGTTCTTTTGCTGCGAAACCTATTTTTTTATATATTCCTATTGACCAAATGGAAAAAATATACACCAAACCAAAGAAAAGAGCCACTGACAATGAGTGAACATGCTGTCACAAAAGATAATTCAGGAAGAGAAAACAAAAGACCTAAAAGCAAATTTACTGCAAAATCTATAAAAATATAAAATATACACTTTGCAAAACTCAAAGACATGTAAAAAACATACCCCTCTACCAATCTTACTTTAGCCACTGACATATTTCAACTGTTTAAAGTACCATTAAACAACCAGTTGCCAGAGTACCTAGACATCTTTAACCGAACCCTAGAAACCCACAACTACTCCACCCGACACAGTATGAACCAGTCCCTGCGACTTCCTAAAGCTAGGTTGGAATGCGGCAAGAGAACGTTTGCTTATCGAGGTGCAGTGGGCTGGAATAAACTCCCACCCGGTATTAGAACTGCACCGTCGATACAGACGTTCAGAACGCTGTATGCTCAGTTACGTGACCTCTGACTTCCCTCCCTTATTACGACCTGGCATGACACCGATTACGAGTAATGGATCACGTTTATGACATTGTTTTTGGTGTATATATTGCTGTATTTCCGTGTATATATGTGTCGTACCCAGGGCCACTCTGTAAAGCAGTGCTATGACACTGAGTAGTGCCACCCTGGTAAAAGAATACAGAAATAAATAAATAAATAATAAATAATCAACATGTCTGAGACCAGTTAGAGCATTGCTAACAGTCGTACCTCATACAGAGCACCATGTGAGTGTTACTCCTGACTCTCTTGGTGTAAGCCTGGTACAGGTTAGTCTTGGTGGGTGCAATCCCGGCGTCTTGTACAATGGGTTTCATGGAGGTGTAGATATTATCCAGCTCATCCTGGGCATAGATGTTTGGTACGTCTCCCGAGTTCAGGATGTTGTTGATGTCCTCAAGGAAGGATTCACTCTTGATCTGATTTAAAGAAAAAGTGTAAGAAATATCATGAAGATGTCAAAGTTTATTGCACAACAATTGTAGCAGGACTGGTACAATGTATGGCAGATAATAAGGTTACTAGCTGGTATGGGTCTATCAAAATTCTACATTATAAGTTCAACGGGTACTACATGTATGTTTGGCAAAATGTTGAATAGAACTACTGGCTAAAATCTAGTACACCTCTACTAGTAGATGCTAAACTAAGATGTGAATACATTACTTTCATGTAAATTTCTTGCTTAAAGCATTACATACTTGGTCTGGAAATTTTGTATTGCATTTTATATTATGTTATAGCATATACCTTTAGTGTAGGGCAAAAAATAAAGCATAGCCTAACTCTCCAGGCTTACCTGTGTGTCTGGGAAGCTGAAAACCATAGCCTACAATGTAGCTCTCCAGGCCTAACATTGTGTCTAAGACAACAATGCTAGCCTAGCTCTCCAGGCTTCCAGGCTTACCTGTGTGTCTGGGAAGATGAACACCATAGGCTTGCTCTCCAGGCCAGCCTTCAGCATGATAGACTTGAGATCCTCTCTCCACTCTGTGTTACCGTAGTTCTTTGACAGCTCAATTTGGAAGGCATCATACTCGGCCATGTGGGTTGCCAGCCTATGAAAAAAAGAGAGTAAAAATTCTGTTCTACATTCCCTGTAACTTTAATCTGTGACTTTTTTCTTGGTACAGTCAAACCTACCAAGGAGACCACCTCTTCAAGCAGGCCACCTGTCTATGGTGACCTTTTTTCTCGGCCCCCAAAATTTTCCCCATTGACACAAGCATTAAGCAACCTGTCCAAGGTGACCACCTGGCCAACGCGACTGTATAATCAAAGACTGAATACTACTACTACTATTTTACTAACTACTTAACTGCTTCTACTACTACTTTTACTACTACTACAAATTAAACTACTACTACTACTATTACTTTTTAAATTACTACTACTACTACTACTTCAACTACTACTACTACTACTACAGTAGTATTACTTTTTAAATTACTACTACTACTACTACTACTACTACTACAACTACTACTATTACTTTTTGAATTACTACTACTACTACTACTACAACTACTACTACTACTACTACTACAGTAGTATTACTTTTTAAATTACTACTACTACTACTACTACTACAACTACTACTACTACTACTACTACTATTACTTTTTGAATTACTACTACTACTACTACTACAACTACTACTACTACTACAGTAGTATTACGTTTTAAATTACTACTACTACTACTACTACTACTACTACTACTACAGTACTACTTTCACCTGGTGAGACTTTGGCGCCCGCTGCCTCCCACCCCGAGCAGCAGAGCGTTGCCGAGCGGCTGGCGAATGATGCGGCTGATCCGACACACGTGCTTCACCGCATCCATAAACAACACCAGCCTCATCCGCGCTGTGTTGATCTGCAGAACAAACCATTGGTTAGGCCACACCAATTTAATTTGTTGTTTCTCAGATTTGCCTGTCCATTTTTTGCCAAAAAAAAATTTTAGGTTCTGAATGAACTCCAAAATGCTCAATGAAAGACATATTTGTGCCCCAACAGTTGAAGAAAGTCCTTTCCTTCCTACAATGTAGTTGTTAAAGGTTTTAAATGTAAAAAATACAACTTCTTTTCATTAAAAGTTCAAAATCTATTCGTCGATGAAGGTTAGACATCCAGGTAATACGATACGCCAAATAACAGTTACTCAAGCAACTGGATATGATTTCAAAATCATATCCAGTTGCTTGAGTAACTGTTATTTGGCGTTCAAAATCTATTGTTTTGATTATAAACCAGCCTGGTATGTTAACTTCTCGGCTCATATCGTAAAATTTCAAGCTACCATGGGGTGCCTTGGTCTGTTTGTTTTTATTTTTATTTTGCCCTGTCACTTCATATTTTTTCTGAAAAAAAAATCCGAGAAACAACAAATTGTGTGGCCTTACTACATTTCACAGAACGATATAGTGTTCTAGTCAGCCTGAAATTTTTTGGTCATCTCAATTTTGTTTGACTGACATCTCTTTCCATGTCTTTACACTCCGATTTTTGTACACCAAAGATGACAGATTGGGCAAAATTTTTGTCCGTCATGAGCTACAAAATTCCATCAAATGATGGAAAGACAGACACTGACTAGAACACTGGCTAAGTTGAATCTTCAAAATATGTGGGTAAGTCCATAAAACAATTTGTTCTCATCTGAGGGGGGTCAGAAAACAATACAACATGTAGCTTATGCACCAATTTCTCGTATGAAACGTTGGTACATAAGCTACATAAACATTAATTACACAGAAATTACTCTCTGTCAAATGAAATTATAAGGTTAGATATATACAACATATATTTAGTTATTGAACAGGCCTAGGACCACTAAATACAAAAAAACAAAATCAACAACTGTATATTTTTGGCAACACCACAGGAGCATTGCCATTTTTGTTACACTCCTGTACTGTACCTGGTTGTAGTCGTCCAGATAGTCCACCATGATCTGCACCATTTTGGGGATGTCACTGATGTAGTTGTACAGTTTGTTGTCAGAGTTCGGCTGCATGAAGTCACCAAACAACACAGGCAGCTGGGGGACAGCCTCTTCAAATGGCACACCAAGCTTCTGCATCTTTTCCTGTGGAGATACATGTAGAACATTCAAACTAACATTTCTGAAAATAGCATGTGGTACAGACTGTAAGATACAGATTATAATGTACTGAAACATGCATGGTCCTTTCTTGTTTATTCAAAATAGCACAGGTGATTGTAGACATTATTAAGAAATCAAACCCAACAATAATTACAAATGTATATCTAAAGTAGCATTAGCATTACTTATTATCACTTTTATTTGTTGTTATCATGTTCTTGCAATTAGCCCTCGGGCATGAATTTGTAATAAGCTTTCAATTAAAAACTAAAAAATCTCTACTCTCTTTCCAAACATAAGATGCTTAAATCATCCGGTCTAAAAAATTATAAGATCAATAAGGACATATCATATAGAGCCATAGAGCTGGATGGGTTTTTGATTACATAATTTGTTTCAATGTCCAAATTCAATCAAAAGAAATTCTGCTCAGTCAGTAGAATTTCAACTACAAATGTCCACCTTTACTGTGGAACTGACCATGTGTAAATTTATGCAGGAGTGTGTAACAAACCTTAGAAAGGTCGTCGAACCATTCACGGTCCGTGTCGTCCACCAGACGGTCTTTGAAGACGCGGCAGCTCTCGTGGTACCAGAGCCGCAGCAGGGCCTCCATGTTCTCCACCTTCCCTGGCTCAACCATCAGTACACCTGAGAAGTCATTGTGAACAGGGAAATTACGCCACCTAGCAGAACTATGAGGAATTACAAGAAGGATACTGCTGCCAGAAATGTAGGAGGGCCTCCATGTTCTCCACCTTCCCTGGCTCTACCATCAGTACACCTGGGAGTCATCGTGAACAGGGAAATTACCCCACCTAGCAGAACTATCGGAAACTGCATACAACTGTACATACTCCAGACCTGTATTTCTAGGGTTGAATTACTGTAAGCTTTGTACATTATGTGACTTGTATGGTTACTTGTAGCATCTTGTAAGGAACAACCTTATATAACTGCATAACTTAATTTGTTGCCTTTGTCAGAAGGGTATAAAATCAGTCTGCTTTAGTATAGGAGACTGTGGATTTAGTGGCAAAACTCAATGTTCATGATTTTTGGCAGGCAGGTTTCTGTTGTGGAGACCAATGTCAAGTGCAAAAATGGGCTTCGTGGCGGGTCCCAACGTTACTGCATGATCATTTATCTAGAACAATGTTCCTCTGACGAAGGTATGAGATCTCTGACCTCTAGTTTACATGCACACATGTACTTTTTTTTTGAAAATCTGAACAACAACAATAACAACAAACAACAACAGCCTACCCTGGAACACCTTGGACAAGTCCCTGAGGTTGAAAGTGTAGTGACTCTTGGCGGGTGTAGGCAGGAGCTGAGTAGTGATGGTGTTGTACATCTCGATGGTCGCGTCCACCAGTTTGCCGTTAACGTCCTTCTCCACGGGAACACCCTGCATCCATGCTCCCAGGATGGTGGCGAAAATACGCCTCTGCAAGAAGAGAGAAGTCAAGAGAAGTCAAGGTTTATTCAAGTTTCAAGTTTTATCAATAAAATCAGCCTTGCAGCCAGTTTCACAAGTCAACCAAGCTGAATTACACTTAGTCTGATTTTTACAATTTTATACATAGCAAATACAAAATACGCATTTACATTACAATACATGTACAGACACGCAAACATGTTACAAAGCCACACATGGGCACTGAAGTGAAGTCCAGACAGTCTTGAAAGTTTATTGCACAACAATAATAATAAGTAGGCCTCGAAATCCGATTTTCTGCATACCTGCATTACTGGTGCAGCCAACACGCAGACTTACCTGCACCAGTCAGAATTTATGAAGTATGGATCATACTAAAACCATTCAGAAACCATTGCCATTATAGTCAAACTTGCCCAAGCAACCACCTCAGTCTATAACTGGGCCATCTGGCTTGGGTGGTTGGACTTGGGTGGTAGATAAGTTGAGTTCCAAATGCTATCCAACTACCATTTCCCTAGTATGTACTTCTCTTTGCACACACCATTCTAGCACCCCATGTTGCTAGCTCATCCAACCACCTTCTTGTCACCAATCCTCCCTTCTTTGATACACTTTGCTCTCACTCTGTATATTACCCTTCTGCTTTACATAACTTCTCATTAGCATACCCTTCTCATTTGCATACCTCTCCTGATTGACCATCCCAAAATTGAGTTAATTCTATCACCTGCCCATCACACCATTGTGAATACTAACCTTACTGAAGTCCTCCATCTCTGTGAAAGTCAGGAAGTTGAAGTGGCGGAGGAGACGGGGGGTAATTGGGTTTCGGCCGCCACCAGGAGGACCAATCGCAGCGATGAACGTGATGTCCACCAGGTTGTGGAACGCGCCAATCATCTTATGATCATACCTGGAGAATATGCAATATCATTTGTAACAGGACTGGTTACATGTATATGGCTTAAGAAACAAAATGTTACATTTCCGGTATGCCGGACAACCCTAGCAAAATCCAGTCGCTCATAGCCAGCTAGTAAGGCTGGTAATTTTTGGTTTGACATCTAAATTTTAAATGCTCTGGATAGTCTGAAACATAATTCAATGTATTTTCAGAAGCAATTTTTCTGTCAGTAAATTGGATGAACTACTTGTTTCCAAGCAAACAAGTGGAAGGATCCTTGAGACTGCCTCCCACGTACTTAGACGTGCTACAAAGAGACACAGGTCTTCAGGCTGAAGGCATGGGGAAAGATAAGCAGAACAAGAGCTTCTAGTGGTTTGGGTGGCAGAGGAGGAGTAACAACCAACAGAAGTCAAGAAACCCAACCTATGTAATACTATACGTACCATCCCCCATGGTCCATGTACTGCCTGATGAGTTCGATAGGGGGCTGTGCTCCGTACACCTCCAGTGCCGGCATGTTCATGTCGTCGATGAAGATGATGAAAGTCTTCCCCAGAGGGGGCCCAAACACACCCTTCCTCCGTTTGTCCAGTTTGCTAAAATAAAAATAAAAAAAATTAAAGTTTCATAATTCTTAATAATGTTAGCACATTGAATATACATGAAAGCAAAATAGCTAAAATGCATAATGTTTACCTTCACATATGGTCTGCTCTGTTAATTCTTATTCAAACACATTCATATATGGTGACAGGAGTCTAAATCCCTCCTGCTATAAAATTGCAACATGATGTAACCCAACATTAGTTACCATGGTGACAGACGTCTGGTTCAGGTCATTGACCTTATTTGTTTGGAGAAGGAGAGGAAGAAGAAACAGAGCAAAAACAGTATGTTTTCCTTCTGCATATGTAAACAAAATTATGATTACTGTAAGTCCAGTTATGTTCACGAATGCTTTATTTCACGAGATGGAGCAATTTGGGAGTTCACGAGGTCTATGACTTCGCGAGTCGGTATTTTTAACAAGGCGTTACATATGTCTCTGTCGGCAAACTTACCGACAGTCGGTACGGGAAATTATCAATCTTTTTTTTTCGGGACGCGCGGTTAGAACATGGTTTCTTCGACATGACGCTTGCCCATTAACGCAAACTCGGGGTCCTGGGTGCAATGGACGGCATCGCCAACAACGTGGACATCGCCAGGGGATGGGATGGCAATGGGATCAGAGCCGCCTTGAGCCGCGCGCGTGAGTAAACAAAGCAGCCGCCGGTCCGCCGCCGCCATGTTTGAACTTTCGACTCGCAAATTTTGCCAACTTCTACACGTAAATTCCTCACGTAAATCATCATTAGTTGTGAAATTTTAGCGCACTTTTCTATAAATTTGCTGGTTGGGAACATTCAAAACCATGTTGATTTAATAAGTTGTAAAAAAAATCAAGCAAACTTAGACCATTAGACAACGCGCTATGTAAACAAAGGCCGCCATGTTGGATTTCTTGTGATTTGTCGATCGGCTTGGCGGGTACTCGGCGGTAGATTTTCGTGCAATTCTTCCCTATAAATACCTGTTAATGTTGTATATGTAGCGTAAAGTTTCATGGGATGTATGGAAATCTTGTGAAATGATTTTTTTGCGTGTAGCTTTGGTGAGTAACGTTTAACCCGTGTAGTTTGATCTTTCGAGGTATAGACAAAGACCCACGCCACGCTATCCCGCTTGGTTCTATTTTTTGCCGATTTTCCGTACCGTAAATATTCTGCTTAACGTCGCTTGTACACGACAACTTTTCACCGATGTATGTTGTAAATTCCGTATGTACGATGTTGCACATGTTTACAGCTGTTCGCTGCTATGTTATCGCTAAACTAGCGTTCTTGTTAAAACTGATGTTGTATAGTCGGCTTTGTAAACTTTTACCATTCTTTGCAATTAGCACTTGTACTAGTAACAAAATAATGATTCCGTGAACCATATGCTCATTGAATAAAGTTTATTTGATTCTGAAATGAAGTCTGCTGTTATTCGTTGAGTCTTGTCATTTACTAGTACTACGTAATGTAGAAGTTGTTAGTATAGTGAATAGAGTTGCGACGCACAATGTGTGGGGGAGGGGGGTGGTACGTACGGAATGGGTTCGCGAGGAGGTGAGTTCACGAGAAGAGCGTCTTCGTGAAAACCGTGAACTTAAAGATTTCGTAATCAAAAATGGACTTACAGTATAAATGATAAAAAACTGTACCTGTTGATGAGATCTTGTGTCTGGTTTGCGCTGGTTTGTGCTGAGAAAGCGATGAAGTCAGACAGGAACTCAGGTGGCATCCCACGGGACAACTTGTCCTGGATAGTCAGACTCTTCCCTGTACCTGTGGGTCCCACACACAACACCTGTACCAGAAAAAACAGGAAAAATCATGTAGAATGGTTTATTATTATGATATCAACTATATCACAACAGTTGCAGCCCGGAGGCTGAATTGAAGTGATGTTACAGAAATTGACTGCAAAACATTAAAAAACATTTTCTGCACAAGCTAAAATGACAAAGAGCAAGTTTTATGGTCAGCATAATCATTCATATATACACAACGATTCAGATTTTATAAAATTGAAAAACTTAAAAATCTGATAGAAAATGCAAGATATAGAGCAACTTAGCAACATAAAAACACAATTACGTATTCAGTTAAAAGACTATGTGTGGTACAGCACTCATTCTGTAGCGTTTGGTTCACAGGAATGCTACCAAATGTTTGAAAAACACTTGTGCAGATACAAATGTAAGATGCTTACTTCAGCACCAAGGACAGACCTAACATGTCCCACACGTAACAATATGCAAAATGAATTTTAGAGGGAAAATCATGATTGTTGGACAATTTTGTTAGATCTGTCCTATCTTTGAAAGACACAAACTAGTGTACTTTTTGTGATTGGTCAAGAGGAGCAAATCTTTGAAAGACAAATTAGCATACCTTATTGTGATTGGTTAAGAGGAGCAAATCTTTGAAAGACAAATTAGCATACCTTATTGTGATTGGTTAAGAGGAGCAAATCTTTGAAAGATACAAATTAGAATTCCTTTTCGTGACTGGTTAAGAGGAGCAAATCTGCGTAAGAAACAAAGTTGTGAAAGACACAAATTAGCATACCTTTTTGTGATTGGTTAAGAGGAGCTCAGTAATGGCGGCGCCGCGGATGGTGTCCATGGTCGGGACGATGATGTCGGAGTATCGTGTTTCCAGCGAGATGTTGACCTCGGGCAGACTGTCCATCCAGCTGGTCCAGCGGATCTGTTTTACCTCCCCTCCCTCATCCTCCTCTGTCACGTCATCCTGCAAGTATTCAAACACAAATTGTGTCTTGTTGCACCCGTCTACTTTTTGGATAAGAAGACCACTTGTCTAAGACAACTATTCTATAGGTCCCCAGGATGTCATAGGAATAATAGGCTGATGCTTTAATTTGTATTTTCCTTTTTACCCATTTCAAGTTACATTTATAACGATGCATTGAGTTGCAGGCTTAGATATCCTTACACTTACAGTACACATTGTTCAATGTTGTTGCACATACCTTTGACTGTTTCTTGCTGAGCCCCGCGTCGTCTAGGCGATAGTCGTACACGAGATTCTCGCTGGGGAACTGCAGCGCGATGTTCTCCTTCACCATTCGCTCCCGTACCCACTGGCTGAAGCGCACACGCCCGTCGTTGTTACACGTCCCGCCAACGGACCAGATCAGCGAGAACACGAACCAAGGCTCGATCAACTCCTCAATTCTCATCAGTTTCTCCTACAGGGGGAAAGGAAATGAATGAATGAATGAACCAATGAATGAATGTATGTTTGCATGTATATAATATGTATATATGTATGTTATATGATTGTATGTTTATATGTGTGTATGTATGTATGTATGTATGTGTGGATGGATGGATGGAGGGATGGATGGATGGATAGAAGGATGGATGGATAGAAGGATGAATGGATGGATGGATGGATGGATGGATGGATGGATGGATGGATGGAGGGATAGATGTATTGATGCATCGATGGATGGATGGATGGATGGGTGGATGGAGGGATGGAAGGATGGATGGGTGGATGGATGGAGGGATGGATGGAGGGATGGAAGGATGGATGGCTGGAGGGATGGATGGAAGGATGGATGGATAGAAGGATGCATGCATGGATGCATGGATGGATGGATGGATGCATGGATGGATGGATGGTGGGATGGATGGAGGGACGGATGGATGGATGGATGGTGGGACGGATGGATGGAGGGAGGGATGGATGGATGGATGGATGGATGGATGGTGGGATGGAAGGAGGGAGGGACGGATGGATGAAAAGATGGACTCATTGAGGGGCAAATTTATACCTCTTCACTTTCATCTTTATACAACTATAAGCTATTAATTTTTCTTGACTGTCCAACCTTTCAATTCTATTTAAAGAAATTCCCCTACCAACAGAATACCCAGAGTTGTACATTGTACAGAAAAGTCACCCCATTCCCTGGTGGACCCTTACCTCAGGCACAGGTGGTTCTCCCTCCTTGGGGATGAAGGGGTGGAAGAAACACTCCAACAGTCGCATCAGACTGAAAGCCAAGTTTCCATCCACTGACGGCACATATTCCTGGAAAAAACAAGTCACATGTTTCTTTATACCAATCATTACTTCATGGCTTTGAGATCCCAGACCAGATTTACAAGTTTCAGCGATCAAAGTAGAATTGAGAGATTAAAGTTTACCATCTTGACCTGCAACACTAGACAAAGCAAAGTATCAGACCTGCTCGTGCTGGCAAAACAATTAAAAACTGCTCAACAGAAGTGGAGAAAATTTATTCTCCCACAAAATACTATCAATGCAAGACTAAAAAGGATCAGGCTAATGCCTACTATGTATTACACTGTAGTACTGTACTGCAAATCTTGAAACATTCACAGCGACCACAAAAATCATGACATTACAAAATATGCCTTTCCAATGTATGACTTCTGTACCACAGAATAGTTTCAACCATGAACTTTCCCCTTCTACCAGTATAACAAAAATAATTGAATTTACAGTAACTGATTTAGTTGGTAATGCAAAAAGAAAATTTGTTGGCAAATACAAGCACAACTTTCCTTAGGCCTAGGGGGAAAAGTTGTGTTTCTTCACAAACCCTAGAAAAAATTGCCAACACTTGCTGTTTTGGGGGAACCCCTGCAATGGACATAAATTTTCACACTGATTTACCTTTTCTAGCTCAATGATTTGACACCTGAGTGATGAAGCATTGTACAATTGGTCTTCCAACATTGACACTGAAAGTGTAATCATGCAAGTATATACTTTGTTAAACTGTATTGTATAAGTTGGATCACTAGAGATCACCAAAGTCTAAAAAAAAAAGAATGAAAAAAAAAAAACAATTCCGACCTACCGACCCTAATTTTTTTCAGGACTGAAACAGGAAACAACATTTTTTCCCTAGGTCTTACCTTCATGTTGTCTGACTTGAACTTGATGGCATCCTCCAGGAAGCTGTTAAACAGAGACTGGAGCTTCTCTTCATGAGGAACGATGCAGGCAGGCAGTTTCTTCAGCCAACACTCCACAAACGGCATGATGCCCAGGCTCTGGGGCTCCAGGTACACCATGCCGCACCGCGACACCGTGGCAGGGGACGCAACCGCAAGGTCTTGTACCTAGAGGGGTCGCCAAAAATATTGGTGTTAGATGTTTAACAACATTGTGCTGAAAAAGCTAGGTCTTGCACCTAGAGGTGTTGACAAACATTATGATGCTTTTAAATCATTTTATACCACAACAGAAAGGTCTTGAACCCGTAGTTGAACTTACAAAATGGAAATAGTCATTCATTTTGCCATGTAAGTTTGTATACTCTGTACCTGCCATGACAGTATAATGATGAAGACCTGGTTCAGCACCAAGGACAGACCATGCAAGGACAATTTTTCTTTGTCCTCCATAGCAGAACAACTCACAAATACCCATCCCATACAAACTTTGTTATAGCAGGATTTGTACAGTGTAGAGTAAAAAAAAATACAATGCCATCTAGGTTTGAATGATGTTCGTCCATTGTAGTCGATGATGACCCCAACTTCAGTCCTTGTGTGTCCGGGTATGGCTGACGAGTCCAATTCTAGCCCGGAAGCACCTGCCGCAGACGTCACACTTGTGCTCAGGTAGTGGCTGCAGAGACGGGTTTTCTCCCTCGCCTTTCGTGCCTCCCGCTTACTGACAGCCAGGCTGGTGCGACGACGCTCAGCAAGCTCGGCGCCCTGGTGGACTAGTCTGCGCCACTGGTGACGGTCAGTGGCAGCGTCCTCCCAGTTTTCAACGGGAATGCTGAGGCTCTTCAGAGTTGCCTTGAGGCTGTCCTTGAAGCGGAGCTTGGGGCGGCCCGCTAGCCTTTTGCCTTCAGCCAGTTCCCCATACAGCAGCATTTTGGGTATTCGGCTGTCGTTCATCCGTCGGACGTGTCCTGCCCACCTTGCTTGGGCTTTCTCTATGAGGGTGTGAATGCTGGGCATGTTGGCACGGGAAAGTACCTCCGTATCTGGGGTGTGGTCTTGCCAATGAATTTTAAGGAGTCTACGAAGGCATGTTGTGTGGAAATGGTTTAGCTGTTTTGCATGTCTTCTGTAAACTGTCCAAGTCTCACAGGCATAGAGAAGAGTAGTAATGACTACTGCCTGATACACTTTAAGTTTTGTGCTGAGCTTGATTCCCCTTCGGTCCCAGACATTGTGTCGAAGTCTCCCAAAAGCACTGCTGGCCTTAGAGATTCTGCCGTTCACTTCCTCATCTATGTTTGCCTGCCGTGACATGGTACTGCCCAAGTAGGTGAACTTGTCCACAGGGTTTAGGACTTGGCCATGTAATGTGACACAAGGTTCCTTGTAAGGTTTGCCGGGACGTGGTTGGTACAAGACTTCCGTCTTTTTGGTGCTGATGATGAGACCAAAGTTGTCACAAGCCCCAGAGAACCTGTCGGTTGATATTTGCATATCCTGTCCGTTTGTGGCATTAAGGGCACAGTCATCGGCGAAGAGGAAGTCTTTCAGGACTGTGTGCTTCACCTTCGTTAGCGCAAGCAGGCGACGTTGGTTAAGTAACTTCCCGTCTGTTCTGTATTTGATGTCTATTCCCTCCTTGGTGCCGTGAAAGGCATCAGTCAGCA